GAAACAAAACCTTAATTTCCTCCATTAAGAACGTCACACGCTTTCTCTGTTCCATGCTCTTAGCTATATTCCACAGGACAATTTTTATATTTTACCAGGACAATTATATACATAATGGCTTCTTCGAGACCGCGAAATGTTATTTTCGTCCATCAGGTCTTACCAAGAAGGGAGGAGCTGATCAAAAATATAATTGTCTTGCTTTAGTGGTTTAGAGCTCAGCCGAGGCCTGCTATTCGGTCATGTCTATTGTTAGGGCCGTACTTCGGTGGCTCACTTGGACCAAGATACAACCTCTAAATCGCCTCGAATGTTCCTGTAATCTTGTTTTCGAAGTTTCGGTCTGCATTTTATGGCATATGTTCATTTGGACTGCAAAGGAATGACCAAGCCAGTGGTGTTTTTAAGTGGTCAGTCCCGCTTACAGCCTATACGACGCACAACGCCATCTTAAAAATTACTGAGTTTGGGGCGACCCATTGCACGGCTGAGGACTTGGCATATGGAACTCCAACCCTTTCATATTATGGGCTTATGGCTGTTCTTTCGCAATACGAAATACTGGTTAACCAAATTCACTACTTTAGAATGACTCTCTTCTGTCATAAAAAATATTTCACTACTCTACGCAAGTCATCATGAAGATTAACTATGTTCGTTCGTTCTTTATTGCTTAGCTCGCGCTTGCACGAGATCTAAGATCCCTGCAATTTTAGAGTCTTCCTAATAATATAATGAAACAAATATCTACTAATTAGAAAATGACACGAAAAAATGTTGCACGCACAACTCCTATTGCGCTCATGTAAAAATATCTGAAAACAAATTGCTTCACTAAAATCTAATTCATAAATTCAAATTTAAAAATAAAAATTCATATATCATCAAATCTTTTCCTCTGACATTGCAATGCCTTACTACTCTTTCACTATGAATACATTTTCCAGTCCAGCTAATTTTCCGACGCGATAAGCATTTTATATGCTGGCTCGAATGGCTCTTGTGAATTTCCGGCACCAAGCACAAATTTAATAAATTTAGAAAAATTTACATTGGAAGTCATGAAGAAATTTGGTTTTTATATCGTAAAAAATAAAAATTTTCCTTCCTATCTGCGGCAAAAATATATCTAGACACACAGATTTCCAACAGATTTTTTACACTATAAATGAATTTATATACGTATATATAATATACACGTGCGATTAATGACCAGAAAATTCGTTCATTTAAATTTTTAAATTATCAGACAGCGGAACAATTCTTCAGATGACGTTGGTAGATCGAAAGGCATGTTTCAGGTAATAGTTTTAGTTTATTAAGGACGTTTCGAATGCAGCAAACATTCATTTTCAAATTTCAAGGTACATTGATAATAATTGATAATTTATTATCGATGCCAGCCAATACAAATGAGTGTGAAATGACCCCACTCATCTCTCCAGCTCTTCACGATTTTATTGATTATGAACGTCTATAGTTAAATAGTGTTAATTTTATCAATATGTATTCGTTGTTCATGGTTATATAATAGAATTTTTATGAATATATATTCAGAGCATAGTTGAACAGTAAATTGGATGGCTCTTGAAAATTTTACAGCTTGAAAGATCTGGAGACAATTTACGGACTGCGGACACCTTTTTTCATCCGGAGGCCAATTGTAAACAGAAACTGTGGTTTGCCTTTTATTAAATGTGTTATAAGGCCTCCGGTTCGAGCTTCGGTCGACTACGGACGTGTGTATGTGATAGAGTGAGTACATTTTTGAATCGGTGAATAAATAGAAAAAAGTCTTAATTTTGAGACGGGCACCTATTTGGAGTACCTTGTTTGTACAAAAAACCAGCAAGCCCAAAGCTAAACGTAAGAAAAAAGAACAAGGAGATGGAGCATCAATATCATCCGACTGCTCAGAAACCTATTCTGCTTCCGGTGTCAGCATTACTAATCCCTCTGCAATACCCACCTGGTCACAAATGCCACCTCTCAGCCTTGATGACATTGTACCACCTACTCCTAGTACTAATACAAGCCACTGTGCAGAGAGTGAATGAAGATTTAAAGACCTACGGCGACGCATTATCGGCAAAATTTTCGCCTTCAGAAGATCTTGCCGACACATTTAGATTGAAATTCTTGCATTTAATATATTTCTGAGTCTTCAGCCAACTATTTAGAAAAAAAGTAAGGTTTCCGGTAGGTTGGATGGATTATGATGCAGCGAAGCTTGTCCGGAAATCAGTTGCGATGAGTTCCTGCAAAAAATGTAAACATTTTTTTGATTGTGTAGTTTCGTCGCATTAGAGCGGTCAGACTGCTTTATTACTTGTTCAGTTGACACTTGCTGTACAACCGGAGTGTTTTTAGGGTAAAATTAGTTATTTGGGGTAACACGTGCATGCAACCTTGTAATAAGTT